TGTTGGGGTTGGAGTGTAAAAGAGCGTGCAGATATGATGGATAAAGTTGAAATGCGAAGTGTTGTAAACTGATAATAAAAATTTCATAATCCTCTCTCCATCTCATTTTACGTTGAATAGTTTCAATAGTGAATTTTTTTTAGCAAATACTTCCTAAATTCAAACTAACCCTAAATACAATTTCAATTACAATTGACATCCTTGCAATTTGTGTTCTGTAGATGGTTGTAACTTTTTGTTGAAAATTTTTGTTTACAATGAAACTAATGGGTGTAATTTTTGTTGTGTAGATGGCTATTGGCATTGACATGTGGATCTTCTATTTTTTTGTCGGGAAGATAATTCACAGTTTTGCAACTTTGGGAAGTTTTTGGTCGTCCTCTACTTTTTGTGTGGAATTTGGATGAATTGTACATATAATTTTTGGCGGGGTACATAGTATTTTTAGAACTTGTATTAATTGCTCTGGTGATATATGTAGATTACCTTTTGTCGTGGTGCATATCACCATGGTAATTTGTACCATGCCAAATGGTCATTACAAAGCATAGTATAGTGAAAATGTTGTGTATAGAGGACATTGTTTTGGTAGGACATTTGGAATGTATGATGTTATTATTCGTAATTGGAATATATTAGTTGGTTTGCATATAAGTTTATATTGTAAGGTGTTCTTTTTTGTTTGATGGTTGTAAGTGAAACATGCATTACGGAATATGTGATAATATATATATTGATTTGTTTGTATACCTATTACAGGTTGTGGTGAATACATACAGGTTGTGAACAAATTTATTAAAATAAAAAAAACAAAATAAAAATAAAAAATGATATTTTTGGTGACAAAACAATTGGTAGCCAAAAAAAGAAATAAATATTTTGGCAACTAAACATTTAGTAGCCAAAACAAAATGAAAAAAAGTTTTGGCGACAAATTGTTTAGTAGGAAAAAGTAAAAACATTTTGGCGACTAAATACTCAGTAGCCAAAACAAATTGAAAATAGTTTTGGCGACTAACTTTGTAGTAGCTAAAACTCAGAACACTTTTGGCGACTAAATATTTAGTCGCCAAAACATAATTAAATATGTCATACGCAACTAAAATCTGTAGTAGCTAAAGAATAATCAACCTTTCCGCGACTAAAAAATTAGTAGTAAAAAATAACACTTTTGGCGACTACTAATTTGGTCGCTGTAGATTTTTTTATTTTTTGGTGACAAAATATATAGTAGCTGAAAATGTTAGTTACATGAATTGATGCACCCTTTGGGCGACTAAGATGTTAGTTGCCAATATCACTCATCCGCGACTAAGCCACTTTTAGTCGCTAATAACCGCTACTTTTGCCTACCAACATATTAGTCGCCATTTGTGTTGGACTTTCGGCGACTAAATTTGTTTTAGTCGCCACTACCTTCGCCGACAATGTACTCGCGACTAGGGGTGTGCGCGGTGCGGGTCGGTGCGGTTTGAGAGAAAAATAGAAACCATATGGCGGGTGGCGGATTGATAAAAGTGTCACTAGAATTTTCCATTTTCCTTATCAAAAACCGGCCGTTCGGTTGGCAAATAATGGCGGATTTGCCTTGGCGGTTCGGACGGATTGGCAGTTTATAAAAAATATAATTTAAATTACAAAACTTAAATCAAAGAATAAAAAAAAGACGAGAGATACCGTGATGTTAAGCATCTTGCAAAGCTTTTTTCTGATGCAGCAAGTGTAGCAACAACAAGATAATATCAATGACTATGCCATCAGTTCATCACAAGCATCTGTGGAAACTACAATGATCAAATACAATACATAAAATTAATATCATTCAGGGTTTACAATATATTGAAAATGTTTACTGTTGAAAAGTATTTAGATTGAAAAGTGAGCTGATTCAAGTTTGCAACATGGCCAGAAAAAAAAAAAGATTGAAAAGTGAATTGGAATCCAACTTTATTTTGGATTACTGACATCTTGAATTCCCCTCGAGCAGTAATGTAATGTAATACTATATTCTAAGGTATAGAACAACAAGCAAACTTAAGTAAAAAAGAATTTTTAGAATCTTATAAAACATGATTTAGTAGCGGTGCGGGTCGATGCGGTTTGGAAGAAAAATAGAAACCGGCGGATTGATAAAAGTGTCACTAGAATTTGCCATTTTTCTTACCAAAAACCGGCGGTTTGATTGGCAAATAATAACGAATTTGCCTTGGCGGTGCGGCTCGGTGCGGTTTTGGCGGTATTATGCACACCCCTACTCGCGACAAAGCCAGCGACTAAAATTTTTGGTCGGGGAATAGCTTCGGCAACAAAAATCAATGCTTTTGGCGATTGAAACATTAGTCGCAAAAAGTGTAGTTTCTTGTAGTGTTTAAATGTAATATTTTATTTTATTAATTTTTTTAACCTATTTTATTTTTTTGCTACTATTTTAGCCTTTTAACCTTTAAAACCAGCATGCCAAATCAATTATAGAATAGCAATCCACCTCACTATTGTTAATCTACTCCTTCGAGGTGTTAATAGTCTTAAAGGGACTATTAGTTCTAAGGCTTTTTTTTCAACCAAACGCAATTTTTGTGAGACCCATTTGTAGGGGTGTGCACGATGTGAATCGGTGGTTTGAGAGTAAAATTATAAATCAAATGGTAGGTTGGTGGATTAGTAGATTGACAAATTGCGGTTTGGACGGTTTTTGGCAGTTTGGCGGATTGAAAAATATTCTAACTAATTATCATATATTTACAAATATATAACACTAATTTGTATAATATTTTTTATATATATAACACAAAGTAGTTTTATACAATATGTTTCATATATATAACTACTAATTTATAATAAATTTCATATCTTAAATTTTTCTCACATTCATTTTTACATTGATATTTCATTAAAAATTTAAAAATATATATGTATTAACTATAGCGGAGCGGAACAATTTATAAGGTAAATTATAAATTTTAAAGTTTAAACCATGATTAGTGATTAAAACGGTACAAATTGATACGAATTAATACGATTTTGACAAATTTAAGGATATTTTACATAGTCCTACCCATTTGTATGTGTATATACTACAACTCACGTAGAACAATGATGCAAACCTTAAAATAGGGAAATTAACCCGAAAGTCCTGTCTCAAAATCTTGCATACTCATAAGTTTGTTTGTTTGTTTTTTTTTGTTTTTTTGTTTTTTTTATTATGATCTCACATAAGTCCTATAGTTTCAAAAGGTATTCCATAAGACCCGTTTAGATTTATTTTATATCATATCAAGACTTTTTTAACTCTATTATTTGTAACTATTTCACATCTCACTATTTAGTCCTTTGTGTACTTTTGACAAATGTGATATTTCTGTTAAAAAATTATTTAATGTACTTCTTTCAAATGTAACACTTTAATATAGCGGATATGATGTGAGGAATGATGTGATGTGACATTAGATACATCTAGAAGGTGAGTGCAGATCATCTGCCATACTTTCCTGCAGTGGTTCCTGCGGTGGTATCCAAAACGACGTCATTTTTGGAAAACGACGTCGTTTTGTTTAGTGGTTTTTTTTTTATTTTTTTTTAATTTCAAAATGTTCATTTCCCCCATTTTCTCTTCTTTGCATCATCTCTTTGCACCATCGATCTAAGGCAATCAACCCTAGCACACTGAGAGAGAGAGGCATCGCGAGAGGCAGGGAAGGAACTGAGAGAGTGACGGAGAAACGAACGCGAACTGAGAGATGAAAGAGATGGCGGAGATGGAGGAGCAGCGCGATGGCGAAGGAGCAACACAAAGGATTGCGGGCGACGGTGAGTCCGACGGCGATCCGATGGCGGGAAGGCGACATTGCAGCGACAACGAGGTCTATTTCATCATCTTGCTGTTATATATCATCTTGCAGTTATATATATATATATATATATGTATGTATATGTATGTGATTTTTGGGTTAGATTTGTTAGATTTGAAATGGGTTTGATGACAGGTTTATAGGCTAATTTTGGTGTTGCTTCCTCTGATTATCTAGTGTTCAAAATCTTGATAATGTTGTACACTAATTGTATCTCCAATTAATTGAAAGAAGATATTTGCAAATGCTCCAGATTTAATTTTTTAATTTTGTATTACTTGTTTATTAACATTTCTGATATAAGTTGATTAAAAGATTTGATAAATTAAACATTACTATGCTGGACCACAGATTTGTTATTCTTTTTTCGAATGGGTGTGATGATAGATTTGACAAATCAAAGAAATATTTAAATAAGTCAAAACAAGTTGATTAAAAGATTTGAGAAATTAAACATTACTATGCTGGACCACAGATTTGTTATTGTTTTTTCAAATGGGTTTGACGATAGATTTGATAAATTAAAGAAATATTTAAATAAGTCACTCATTGAATCTATTAGATTTGAAATAAGTCAGTTATTGTTTTTTGAAATGGGTTTGATGATAGATTTAATGGTAGTCTTGCGGCGACAACGAGGTGTATTTCATCATCTTGCTGTTATATATATATATATAGATTTGTTTCAGATTTACCCATTTTAATTTGATTCATAGAAAAATGTTATCTTGCTGTTATATATATATATATATATATATGTATATATGTATAATCTGTATCTGTTTTGGATCAATCTATATATATATATATATATATATGTATAATCTGTATCTGTTATCTTGCTGTTATAGTTTGATATATATATATATATATTAAATGTTATTTTTTTCCTCTATCAAATCAATCAAAGACATAGTAAGGCAAGTAGACAACAAAAGTTATTCTAACCTCCTGAGATTGGCAAATTGTGTTGAGCAATTTTATGTTCTACATATATAGTTAATCGCATTGATCTATTTTCAGATTCATAAATTTAGTTGTGGATTCATATAATTATATGGTTTATATATATGAATTGTAGGTAAATGTGCTTTATATATATGAATGTGGTTTATATATATGAACCTGCAATTAAGTATAAATGTGGTTTATATATATGAATTGTAGGTAATGGAAGAAAATAATATTGTTGATGATTGTGGTTGGAAGCCGAAAGTGGGAATGCCATTTGACTCTGAACAAGCCGCATATGACTTTTACAATACGTATGGGGGAAAGGTGGGCTTTAGTATTAGGAAGGCATATGCAAACAAGCACAGACAGACGAAGGAGATAACATCACGCACGTTTGTATGTTACAAAGAGGGAAGTCGGGGTATTGACAAACGAGATCCACTTGTCAAAAATCCAAGACAAGAGGTAAGATGTGGTTGTGGTGCCAGATTTAGTATCAAGTTAGATAGAATATCAGGAAAATATATTGCTTGTGATTTTGTTGAACATCATAATCATGATCTTGTGCCTGAAGATTGCATTCATATGTTGCCATCCCAAAGAAAAATTTCTACCACCCAAGCAATTGAAGTAGAATTAGCTTCACAATCTGGAATTCCTCTTAGGTCTGCTTATGAACTATTTGGTAGGGAATCTGGTGGAAGAGCATCACTTGGTTTCACCAAATTGGACCAAAAAAATTACCTAAGATCGAAGAGACAAAAAGATTTGGAATATGGGGAAACGGGTAGTGTGTTGCATTACTTTCGTAAGAAAACTGTGGAAAATCCATCTTTTTTTTATGCAGTACAATTAGATTGTGATGAGCAGATAAGTAATATATTTTGGGCTGATGCTCAAATGATCATGGACTATGCTCAGTTCGGTGATGTTGTGACATTTGACACTACTTACAAACTAAATAATGAGCATAGACCTTTTGGATCATTTGTTGGATTTAATCATCATCGAGAAACAGTTATATTCGGTGCAGCGTTGATGTATGATGAGACTGCCAAATCAAAGAGGGAAGTTGAGGTATTGACAAACAAGATCCACTTGTCAAAAGTCCGAGACAAGAGGTAAGATGTGGTTGTGGTGCCAGATTTAGTATCAAGTTAGATAGAATATCAGGAAAATATATTGCTTGTGATTTTGTTGAACATCATAATCATGATCTTGTGCCTGAAGATTGCATTCATATGTTGCCATCCCAAAGAAAAATTTCTACCACCCAAGCAATTGAAGTAGAGTTAGCTTCAGAATATGGAATTCCTCTTAGGTCTGCTTATGAACTATTTGGTAGGGAATCTGGTGGAAGAGCATCACTTGGTTTCACCAAATTGGACCAAAAATTTTACCTAAGATCGAAGAGACAAAAAGATTTGGAATATGGGGAAGCGGGTAGTGTGTTGCATTACTTTCGTAAGAAAACTGTGGAAAATCCATCTTTTTTTTATGCAGTCCAATTAGATTGTGATGAGCAGATAAGTAATATATTTTGGGCTGATGCTCAAATGATCATGGACTATGCTCAGTTCGGTGATGTTGTGACATTTGACACTACTTACAAACTAAATAATGAGCATAGACCTTTTGGATCATTTGTTGGATTTAATCATCATCGAGAAACAGTTATATTCGGTGCAGCGTTGATGTATGATGAGACTGCTGAATCTTTTACATGGTTGTTTCAAATTTTTTTTGGAGGCAATGTCAAACAAAGCTTCGAAAACTATTTTCACAGATCAAGATGCTGCGATGGCTAAGGCCATTTCAATTGTCATGCCCGATACAAACCATCGTCTTTGTACGTGGCATTTGATGCAAAATGCTGTCAAGCATGTAAGTTCTGTTTTCGATGATGTAGGGGTGAAGGGTGTGTTTTCAAAATTTATGCATGACATTGATGATGAAGAAGAATTCCGAATACAGTGGGACCAAATGCTTGATAAGTATGATGCATTCGACAATCATTGGTTGGAGCAGACTTTTCGCGTGAAGGAGAAATGGGGATGGCCATATATTATGAATTCTTGGGCAGCTGGAATGAGTACTACTCAACTTAGTGAATCCTTTAATGCATTTCTGAAGGATTATCTGAATTGTGACCATAATTTGATGGAGTTCTTCAAGCATTTTGAGAGGGTGCTTTATGAGAAGAGGTATAAGGAATTGGAAGCGGAGTATAATTTGTCCCAAAAATTGCCGAGGGTTTCAATTCCAACTGTGATGTTAAAGCAAGTGGCAGAGATTTACACGAAAACTATTTTTGAGGAATTCCAAAATGAGTATGTGCAGTCCATTGAAGCATCCATTATAGGCACTACTAATGATGGTGAGAGCACCAAATTCACAATAAGAACAATGGTAGATGGGAAAAAAGATAAGATTGTGACAATGGATAGAGGGGGTTGTTTGAGTTGTAGTTGTAAGAAGTTTGAAGTGAAGGGCATATTATGTCGACATTGTCTCAAGGTGCTTAGAGATATATTCAATGCAACGGAACTTCCTCCACAGTATATACTGAAACGATGGACTAAAAAAGCAAGGGCTGAACGAGTGAAAGATAGACATGGGTATGAAGTGAAGGCTGATGTCAAATTACATCAAAGTGACTGATATCGGTCATTAATGACCATGTTTAGAGCAATAGCGAGTAGAGCCGCTGAAAGTGAAGAAACTTATCAGTTGTTAGTTTCAAAAGGTGAAGAACTGAGTGTAATGGTTGAAGACAAATTAAGTCTCCACATTTGTGGTCAAGTGGAGGTAACTGATTTGAGAAATTCGCCAAGCAATGCATGCCCACAGAGTGATGAAGTAGATTGTCCAATCCAAGCTAAGGGACTGAAGAAAAGAGAGTCAACTAGTAAGGGAAGAAGGAGGATCAAAGGCGGGATAGAAAAAGCTATTGCAAAGAAGAAAAGGATGCAATCTATTCAGGTTTGGACATGACAAATTGCATACGATTAAAATACAGTAGATTAGTAAACTAAAACATTGATTTTATTTAGTCATGGGTATTAATTTCATTAAGGTTTTTCGTTGTGTGTAGGGTGGCGCTGATTATACTCCCCAATGTGAATCTCAGCCTCATTTCCGCATGGTTAATAATTCTATTCAGGTAATATTTAATAGTAATGTGGTCTTTATATGGTTAGTTTGATGAGTTCATTTCATTAAGTTCGTTCATTATATGGTTAATTGTTGTTATATGTAATTGGATTGCTTCGCAATGTAGTCGGGTGGCACTGTTTACACTTCCCAAGGTGAATCACAACCTCATTTCGTCATGGGTGGTAATTCTATTCAGGTATTTAATGGGTGAATCATGGGTGGTAATTTCATTCATGGGTGAATCACAACCTCATTACTGTTTACACTTCCCAAGTTGGGTTTCTTGGCATTTAATTATTTTTATCTGTAATTGGTTTGTCTGGCAATGTAGTCGGGTGATGCTATTTATACTTGCCAAGGTCAATCACAATCGTGTTTCGTCATGGGTGGTAATTCTACTCAGGTAATAGTTTTTTGTGTGCAAGTTTTTAAGCAAATGTTAAATAATGACCATGTTTTTTATTCAAATATTTTGTTTACATAGTTTCTATTGGTTGTATTTAGGATCATGGTCTTCGTGTCAATTTTTCTCAATCACAACCTCGTTTTGTCATGGGTATTAATTATAATAAGGTAATATTAATGTTCAATGATGTTTCATTTGTTTTTAAAATTTTTTGGTTATTAATCTTTTTTTTTTTGTTTTTCGTCATGGGTATTAATTTAGGATCATCGTCATGATATGTACATTTCTCCATCTCAACTTCGACCTCAAGTTCTTATGGGTGGTACAAGTGGTCCTCCTCTTACGTATGGTACATATGATGTGAGTTATAATTAGTGACATAGTTCACATTTAAAATGTAGTATACATTGTAATCGAAGTTGAATACATGGTTTGGTGTATTGCAGGGGAATAACACGGCTCAGTCAATGCCTTTTGTGTATCCCACTCACAGATCTTTTCAGGGGTTGCTTCGAGGTACAAGTGTTGAAAACTTTGCAGTCCATCTGTCGCAAACGTCACATAGTCCTGCTGACAATCATGTAGATTGACATCCCTGAGAAGTTTATTTTATCTTCATTTGTTTTGGACAGATGTATTTACAGTGGGACAGATTTATAATGATGTGGATAGATTTTGACAGTTTTCTTTTGTTTTGGACAGATTTGGTGTCATGAATGTTGGACAGATTTGGTTGTGCTATTTTGTGTTGCACAGGTTTATAATGTTGTGGACAAATGTTGAATGATATGGACATCCTATGGATAGTTTGCTTTTATTTTGGACAGATTTGGAGTGGTTTATAATGATTTGGTTTTTGGACAGATTTGGACAGGTTTATAATGATCTGCACTGATTTTTTGGTTTTGGACAAATTTGGACAGGTTTATAATGATCTACACAGATTTTTTGGTTTTGGACTGATTTTTTGGTTTTGGACAATTTTTTTTGGTTTTGGACAGATTTGGACAGGTTTATAATGATCTGGGTTTTGGACAGATTTGGACAAGTTTATAATGATGTACACAGATTTTTTGGTTTTGGATTGATTTTGGACAGTTTTGGTTGTCTTATTTTGTGTTGCACAGGTTTATAATGTTGTGGACAGATTTTGGAATGATCTGGACAGATTTGGACAGGTTTTTTTTTTTTTTTTTTGGACAGATTTGCTTTTGGACAGTGTTATTTTGTGTTGTCTGCACAGATGTGGATTCTGGACAGATTTGGATACATGTATACTGTTTTGGACAGATTCGGTTATGTTGTGGACATATTTGGTTGTGTTATGTTGCGGACAGATTTGGTGAAGAACAAGTATGACCTGACCAATAATAAGAATATAAATTAATGAAATCTGTCCACAACATTATAAAATAATGAGAGCTGTCCACAACATTATAAAATAATGAGAGCTGTCTACAACATTATAAAATAATGAAGTCGTCAAGCATAGGTAATTTCAGGTAACGTCATTGACAGAAACAAAATACAAGCGCATCACATTTGTCAAACGTAGGTAATTCCATTAAGCTTCACATATCAACATTCATAGTTTAAGGTCTATAACATTCATAGTTTGAGGTCTACAACATTCAAAACCCAAATACATCCACCAAAAAAAAAAAAAAAAACAAAATACCAAAAAAATAACTAAAAGGTTACATTCACTTCAGTAGTGCTATTAGCATGGTAAAACCAATCAAGACTATGGCTGTGAACATAAACAGTTTCATAGCTTCTTGGTTTGCTTCAACTCGTTCCAATTTATTTATAATTTGATTGAGTTTGTCAACATCATAATCATAGCCTCTCTCATCTTCATTCTGCATATGACTAGCTTTACTTTTCCTTTGGAAATCTGATGCATTCCCAGTCGAAGCCGGTCCCCACCCAAAGAACTCGCACATCCTATTTGGACACTTGAAATACAGCCTCCCTGGATTTTTCTCTGATTCTGATATGAACACTGCAGCTTTTTTTCCACAATTGCATCTCTGATTTTGCAAATATCCAGCATCAACGTTTGAACCCATTGACATTGACATGATCCTAGTAAGAGCATTTTCCACAATTACAATCAGTCCATTAAGACAACATTCAAACAAAGCTGTAAAATAAAGCACTAATCGGTTTTGTTTTATCCGAAGCTAGTCACGGCCTCTATTATAGGCTTAGGCATTTGTGTTAAAATGTTAATTTTTATTTTCTTGGACCCTGATGGAGACAAAAACCATGTTTATAGTACTTCTGACTTGCTTCCTCATCGTTTAGTTATGTGGAGTTAGAGGTGGTGGGAATGCTGCAGCTCAAGCATCATTTTGGCAAGCAAAAGTAGGGCTTTCTTTTATATTGGCATTCGAGTCAGAGAGGGAAAGGAATGCAGCCATCATGCTTGCCAGGAGGTTTGCATTTGATTGCAATGTGAGTCAAGTTTCTATTATATGATTTACATGGAATAATTGTCTATAATTTACTCATCTATGCTTTGAGTCACCGAAATAGCCTCCCCGGAAATCATGTAATTATTTATAAAATGACAGATCATGCTTGCCGGACCAGATGACAGAGCTCCTCCAGAAACATGACAAATCTATGCTCTACTCTCCTCTTATGTGTCAATGTTTTCTTGAAAATTCACACCTATACACTTTCTGTGACCTCAAGGTCTAAAATGCCGGCCATAACCCCAGCTGCCAATAAATTAGGCTCAATATGACTATGGTTAACCCATTTCTTGTGCAGCATAGACATAGCAAACATGTGGAGGTGCCTATCATAATGATATGTGTCAATGTTTTGTCCGGAAATGATAAACCATCGAGTCATACCACCAAGTCATTCCATATGGTCATATAAGGTCCATATACATGGTATGACTCACTGGTATCTCTAGCATCACAGTTTTTTCTTCCACACGCTTGTGTGAGGTTTCATTCAAGTTACCTTTCAATCCATGTTCCTTCTTCATTTGCTATCACTACACTACCCCACAAATAATACACTGTCAAGCTCTGTTTTTGGATCTTGGATGTTTTGGATGTTTGGTTCAGTTTGATGGATTTATTGGCAAAAACTCAACAGGATCATTGCCTATCATATGATTTATGGATTTATCCATCTGTTTCAAAAATACCAAAACTAAACAGGGCAGTCCTACTTGAATCATGTCACTATTTGATCTATATTGTTCTTGTGCCTCATTCTGTTGCCATATAAAAGGAAAAAAATTTGAATCATGTCTCTCTTAGATCAAACAGGGCAGTCCTGGAATCACTAGAAGGTGTTCCTGATATCTATGAGCAGATTTCAGGGATCATAATGGAGCACATTAAACCAGAGGAGAGTATTATTCTGAATGTTTTATCTGCAACAGTTGATTTCCCAACATGCGAGTTGATAAGGAAATAAATGAATTCAAGGACTCAAAAACTCAAAAATGAATTCCTCAATGATTCTGCGCCAAAAGTGTCAAATAAAAGGAAAAAAAAAAATTCTTTTTTAATAGAAATGTGGAACCCAGATTAACACAAATCTAATTTCAGAAAAATTCATTTTGAATCATAAAAATTCATTTTGAATCATACATTTTCAACCCAGATTAACACACATAAAAAAAGCGGAAAAAATTCATTTTGAACCCAGATTAACACACAGAAAAATTCATTTTCAATCATGTCTCTATTTGATCTAATTACATCAAATGGTGAACATTGAACACATTAACACAAACATTGGGAATAATTTCGGCATAACACCAAATCAAAAAAAAATTGCAAAAATTTAACAGAAATCACACCAAATCTGTTTCAACAACAAATCCAGAAATCATATGATAGGCAACAAATCCATAAATCAAAAGCATGGACCGGCAACAAAATCATATAAAAAAAAAGTAATAAAAGACGAAGGGAGAAGGGAGAAAAATGATCCTGAAGACGAACGGACCTCGTCGCTGTCGTTTCGCCGTCGTCGCCGTTGTTTCCCCTTGTCTCACCGCTGCCTCTCCTCTCCTCTCCTCTCCTCGTTGTTTCGCCTCTACTCTCAATTCGTCTGAGTTTTGAAGCAACACTAGGGTTCTAAACAGTTCTGAAGCAACGTAAAAGAAATGAGGAAAAAAAAAATTAATACAAAACGACGTCGTTTTGTATAGCACTGCAGGAATGTATGGCAGAAGATCCGGACTCCTAGAAGGTCTACTAAAAAACTCCTTAATATATATATATATATATATATAAAAGTAGTATTTTTTTTTTTTATGTGACACATTCTAATAGCTTATTTTTTTTTCCTAAGAAAGCAACTTTTTGATGTGTAAATATCCTTATTATCCCTGTTAATTGTAAATTGAATTAATCTTTATTAGTTGTAAATTGAATTAACTTTTATTTTTTTTATTATTCACCACTAGTCCACATTTCCCATAAAATAAAATAAAAATTAATTCACAATCCATTCGGGTATTTTTCTATTTTCAAAAAAAGAAAAAAAAAATTCTAAGGGCATAACAGCAGAAGCTGATAATCAAAAGTATTGGGTGGACAGCTTCTCAGAATTAACTTTTTTGGGTTAAAATAAGTTGCTACAATAAAAAATTATTTAAAATAAATTTATACACACGTTATCTCACAAAATCGCATAAATTTTCATAATTATACATAAGTTAATACATAAAAATTTGAGAAATCACAACTTACATGTGTTTGTAAGAACTTATGTGATTTTGTGAGGTAACTTATATATATTTGTAAGAACTTGCATTAGTATATATGGTATGTACTTCACACACTCAAACACTTCCCATCGTCTAAACAACAAACAAAAAAGTCATTGAAAATGGGAGAGTTCCGAACCTCGTTTGTCAACTATATATTTTAATTAAAAAATTAAAAAATTATTATAATTTGTCATATCACTCTCTCTATTTTTTCGTATATATTTTTATTAAATGTTAAAAAATTACTAAAATAGCCTAAATCACTCGCCACGTTTGCAGCGTTGCTAGTGGCTCCATTGAATGAATTAAAAAAGGTAAATTACATATACACTCTTGAGATTTGATTAAAATACGAATCGCCTCTATGACTATGAAAATTACATTCCACTCCCTGTTATTTCTAATTTCATAATAAATTGCTCATTTTATTAATAAATTATTAAGTCAATTAACAGTTTTTAATGATGTTAAAAATATGTTTTAATTAATAATTTAGGTAATTTTATTATTGTATATGAGAGTAATTATGAATTTTATTTTTTTAATTATTTTTTATTAAATAAAAAAAATTTAAAAGAGAGTATTTATAATTTTTCAAAATACAAGAGATAATTTATATTTTAAGAAATCTCAAAGAGTGTCTAAAAAAAAAAAAAAAAAAAAAAGGTGAAGTGGGTTAGCAAGCTAGCTAACATATACAGCTGACACAAACACCTAGCTATAACTATTTGTTTAGCTTCTTCTCTCTCTCTCTTTTTTTTTTTTTCCAGCTTTTTATTTAGAAAAATTACAAAACAAAACCCAAGGTTCCTCTTAAATTCTAACTTTTTGATTATTTCAATTAAAATTTTTATTTTTTAAAATGATATCAATCCTATTCATCTATTGGATATAACTAATGGAATACGAACAATTCGGATAATTTAACCACCATTTTTTTGTCAGTGATGCTGGACGACAACAGTGGTTAGAGACTATGGAATGAATGAGAGGGGATGGCAGTGAAATGGGGAATGAGAGGAATAGTGTTGGGCAAGGAAAAAGGATGGAGCAATGAATAGTGAATTGGAAAAGATGAATGGTGGTGATGGATGACGATAATAATAGGAGATGGTTATTAACACTAATGAAAGGGAAGAAAGAAACAGAGAGTAAAATTGTGTAAATTGCTCTTTCTTTGTTAATTATACAAATAGATGGTTAAAACTGAGACTATTTTAAAAGTTCAGGATTTAAATTGAAATAATTAGAAAAACATAGGGTTTAATTTATTACCAATGTCAAATCTTGAGTTTTTACTTTTTATTTTTTACTTTTATATTTTAACTTTCTTAAAAAATAAAATACATATATATATATATATATATATATGAGAGGGTAATTTTTGGTGAAAATTGGGCCGAGCTATGAAATGGACTTTATGGCCCCAAAGTACAAAGGACTGGGTAAAATGGGCCGAGAAGTTACTCCGGCCCAAGAGAAATAAAGTTACTTCGGTCAAAAGAGATGAAGTTACTTCAGCTTAGGAATTGTAAAGCTACTTCGGTTTGGACAACTTGAGTTAGCCCGGTCTCCGAGTTAGTCCAGTCATGACGTATTCTGGATAGATCGGTCAAGACCTTGCTACTCGGTAGCCCGGTCCCAACACTTCATGGTTCATGCAAGGGAGAACCGAGATGAGGAGTAAAAGGAAGGGCCGAATTAAGGATAGTTCGGCCTACCTCGTGGCTCAGCTTAGCCAGTTTACTTCGGTCAAATGGTAGTTCGGCCGTAGTAAAAACCATCCCACTTGGTTTAAGCAGTGGGGGGGGGGGGGTAAAAGGATAAGCATTATCCTTTAGGAGTATGAATCATAGGAGGACTCTGCATGGAAGAATAAAAGTCCTACTAGGATTGGGCCACTCGAAACCTATAAAAGCTCACAAGCATCACCTTGGAGGAGGTAACATAACACAACATACAATTATGCTTCCTGAATACATTGAGCTTTGTCAATTTGTCAAGTTTTCTGACTTAGGCATCGGAGAGGTTTCCGGCACACACCCGCCGGCTAGCTCACATTTGTGTTTTCAAGTGACAAAGCGACGTCGTACGGAGGAGCGTGGACTTAGTCAACAGGATTATATGAGGAGAATTATTTCTTCCCCGTACAATTGGCGCCGTCTGTGGGAAAAACAAACAGAACAAAACCTCTTGATTAAAGCTTCTCCCCTTTACATCCAATGGCACACATTGAAGAATTGCCGCAATCCGCCGTCGACGGGCTAACTCCAGAAGGGGGCGCAAGGCGTGAAGGATTACCCTCTGTCCCTCCCATGGCGGACTTGGAGCCCCAACGACATAACACCAGGAGGGATACAAGGGGGAGGCGAACTAATAGCCCCCGTCACTCTCGTCCGCAAAGTCCTGATAGGCAAAGGCAGAGGATTGACCCTCAAGCTCTGGAAGATCGTGTGAAAGAGAAGGATGAATTGATAAGGAAGATGGCGGCGGACATGGAGGCCTTGAAACGCCAGATGAAGAAAAAAGAAGTGGCGACAGGAGAGGGGCGCAAAAACAAGACGCCCCCTCGCCACTCCGAAAATCGTAGTAGGAATACTACACCCTCACAAGGAGAGAGTAGAAGCCTCAGGACGGGCGATACTCAATCATGGTCTTCCAGAACTTGTCACTCCAGGTCTGAGAGGACGAAGTCTGAAAGATCATATACTGAAGGAAGCACATACTGGCCCTCTCATTCGCATCAAATTAGATCTAGACAGACGGAATTACCCAGATCATCCGACTTACGAACCGTGCTCAAAGAGAAAGCATAGTGCAAGGAGGATGCCAGGGCGCGGGATCCGCACAGAGTTTCTGCCTTACAGCGGTTGGCTCCTCGGATGCATGGAAGCGTCGAGGTTGGAATGCCAATACCGCGCCCAGCCTACGAACCAACGAACAAAGCATTGGCAAGACTATAGACTTCACCATTTGTTTCAGCGATCGAAAACGCGCCCCTACCATCAGGCTTCCTTCAGCCGAAATTCACCACATATGAAGGGAAGACGGAGCCGTACTCACACTTTCGCCACTTTCGCCAAGTCATGGCCGTTTATAGACGAAATAAGGCCTTAATGTGCATACTCTTCCCGTCTAGCCTTGGCGACCTAGGCTTGACTTGGTTCGAGAAACTTCCTGAGGGCAGCATAGCCTCTTGGGCGCAATTGGCAGAAGCTTTCGTAACAAGGTTCCGAACGAACACTAAAACCCCGGTGGAGATCGACCAGCTACTCTCCATCGACATGGGCGATAAAGAGACCCTAAGATCCTACAACAGTCGCTACTGGGAGACATTCAATCAGATTGGGGACTGCCCCACCAATCTCGCCATTGCACAGTATAAAAGAGGCCTTCCAGTTGGGAACAGACTGAGGGACTCGATCACCATGACGCCACCCCTCACTATGGAAGCCCTGATGGAAGGAGTGCATCAGCACATCAGGGTAGAAGAGGATGGCGCACGAGCAAAAGCAAAATCTAGTGCGACCGCAGTACCAGAAAAGAAGACCTCAGCGAAGGTCAATACAGTAGGTCGTCAAAGCAAAAACGGGTGTGGCAGACAAGATAACGGAGAAGACCCGGATAAACGATGGTTGAGGATCCGCACTGCCATAACCACGGTGTTCAAGAAACCGATATATTGGATTCTTAGCGAAATAAGAGATGAGCCTTTCGTCAAGTGGCCAGCCAAGCTAGGAGAAGCCCAGAAGGACTATGACGAAAGATCACGGTGCACCTTCCACAAAGAAAAGGGACACCGCACGGAGAATTGCACACCATTGAGACAACACCTGGAAGAGTTAGTTGCAGCGGGCCACTTGGACAAATACATTGAAGGAGGGACGCAACCAGCCCCCCAGGATCACAATAACCCCAACGGAATGCCAATCGACGTCCCACCTCAAGGCATTATCAATGTAATACATGGAGTCTTTGAACCTGAGCATGTATGCGAGCTCAAGGGATCAATCAAGAAGGCTGAGCACTTTAGAGAGGTGTTAAGTGCCCAACCTGCCATCAAGAAGGGAAAGACAGAGGCAACAAACGTCATGTCCTTTTCGGATAAGGATTTGGATCGAATATACTGTCCTCACAATGATGCTCTGGTCGTCACTCTCCGAGTCAAGGATTTTGACGTCAAGCGGATTCTGATTGACCAGGGTAGTTCATGTGAGATCATGTACTACGACACATTTAAACAACTGAAGCTACAAGACAAAGACTTGGCGCCTGCAGTCTCTCCCTAATTGGATTCAACTCCATGCCGGAGTGGCCCGTCGGCAAAATAATTCTTCCAATCAGAGCAGGAAGCGTAACAAA